GGGGCACCATTGATTGCCACACAGCCCAGAATGCCAAGCTTAAGTGGGGTCAGGGACACAGAAAAAGCTCCTATCTAAAAGGACAGTACCCAGCTTAGAAATTGGAGGGAAGAGTCCAGTGCACTGTTGAACTGAGAGTAAGCCCACTCATCTCCCTAAAAAGGAAGAAAATTGGAAAATAAAGAAATATTTAACATCAACTTGTTTCTTTATTCCTTTTATTTGTTTTTTTTGTTACCTACTTCTTTTTTCCCATTCTGTTAAAATTTTAATTTGCTTAGCTTTCCTTGGATCCACTTTCCTTTTTCTCATCCATTTTTCTCTTTTCTTTCTTCTTCCTTCTCCTGATGTTCATCTCCTCTGCCTTTCTTTACCCCCACTGTCCTCAACTTCCCTACACTAAGCAATCACTGATTAGTCTACTATATCAACTTTATGCATTACCTCCACCCTTCCTATCCTTATGCATTCCCCAACAATGGCACCCTCTCCCACAATGAGGGAACTATACCTTTACAGACATTAAGGACTCATTTCCTCATAGCCCCCACATCTCATAACTTGTCTCCCCATCACCGCACCCCCACCTCTTCTTCTCGCACCATCATTTTAATTACCTAAGTGTCAATGTCTATGCCAACAGCTGCTTCCTCCCTAATATCCATTGTTTATAGATATTTTCACTGAAGGTTTTATGTATTATGTTAATAGGTGGTTCAGCATTGAATCCATAAATTTGTTACTGTTATGTTATGCCTCCAGGTCAGTGAACAGAAACATTATAACAACCTACCTAACAACTAAGCTAATCAGAGCATAGAAATTAAATTAAGGGAAAGATGACTGGTGAAGAAAACCCCCAACTAAATAATCAACAATTCATGAACAAAGCTCAAAATAGAAACATGGGGGAAAAAAAAGGCAACACACAACAACTCCTCAAAAGGGTAACAATAATACAACAAAATATTTGTTGGAAAGTGAAGGGGATGAATCCTCAGTTGCTAAGGTCAGAAGAATGATGAAAAGAATGTTTAATGAGATGAAAGTGGAGCTTAATGAGGACATACAAAAACAATGTATCCCAAGAGAAATGGGTAAAAAAAACTTGAGAAGACACAGAAACAACAAAATGAACTCAGTGAGGATTTTGACAAACTCCAAAACAAAACCAAGGAAATATAAAGAAAGAGATAAAAAAACAAAGAAGACAGTACAAAATATGAAAAAGGAGCATAAGAACAATTTGGAAACTCTCAAAAAAAAAACCAAATAGAAACTCTAGAAACAGAAAGGTCCTTAAGTCAAATGAAAAATATAGTAAAAATCCACTCCAACTGACTGGAACATGTGGAAGAGAGAATTTCAGGTTCTCAAGAACAATGGATATTAAAGAAAAAAACACCCAGAAGAATACTTTGTCAATTAACTGAAGAGTTCTGAAAGGCAACATGCAAGAACTCTGCGCCTTCATCAAAAGTCCAAACCTGCAAATCATGAGCACTGAAGAAGGAGGAGAGGTACAAGCCTAGAGTATAGATAATATATTCAAGAAAATAATAGCAGACAATTCCCCAAATATTGAGAAAAATCTGCCAATCCTTGTATAGGAAGCTTCAAGGACACTAAACAGCAAATCATAGTTAAAGCAACTAGCACAGAGAACAAAGAATGAATATTGAAGGGTGTAAGTGACAAAAATAAAATGATATAAACCCATCAAAATAACAGCAAATTTCTCAACAGAAATCTTGAAAGCAAGAAGGGCATGGGTGACATATTTTGAGCATTGGAAGAAAACTATTTCAATCCTAGGATACTCTACCCTGTGAAGCAAATTGAAGGAGGAATAAAAATCTTCCAAGATAAACAGAAACTACTAGCGGTCAGAAACACATGACCACTAAATGTGCCTTCCAGAAGATTCTCAAATGAAACATACACACAGAAGACTAAAATAAACATATCCATGCAAAGATAGGAAATATGAAATCTCAAGAGAAGAGCAGACAAGTAATTAGAAAGTATAATAGAATTAGCTCCACACGAACAAACACTTACACAATAAAAACAACTAAATGGCATGAATTGCCACATATCTCTTAATATTAACACTGAATGTTAATGGCCTTGGCTCCCTTATCAAAAGACTTTGATTGTCAAACTGGATTAAAAATGAAGATCCAATAATTTGTTGTTGACAAGAATCCTGCCGTACAGACAAACAAACATTGATTTTGTGTGAAAGGGTAGAATAAGATTTACCAAGCTAGTAGCCCCAGAAAACAGGAAGCAGTAGCTACACTTATATCATACAAAGTACACTTCCAACCTAAATTAGTCAGAAGAGATAAAGAAGATGACTTCATCCTTATAAAAGCAATATATCAAGAGGAAATAATTATTAACCTAAATGTGCCCAAAGTTAACGCATCTTACTTTATTAAACATACACTACTGTGCCTAAAACCCAGATAGAGTCTAACACCATGGCAATGGGAGACTTTGGTACACCTAGGTCACCAATAGATAGTTCATTCAAACAAAAAAAATCAGCAAAGAAACTCTATGAATGACACCATAATCAAAAGGACCTGACAGATGTCTACAGAGTTCCATCCTGCAAAAGCACAATAAACATTCTTTGCCCCTGTAATTGTCTTTATAATAAATCAAATTTTATGTTACAAAGCAAGTCTTACCAAATGCAAGAAAATTGAAATAATCCCCTGAATACTTTCAGACCACAATGTAATGAAACTAGAACTCAAAAACAAAAGAAATGGCAGAAAATACTCAAACAATTGGAGACTGAAAGTCACATTTCTCCAGACAAGTGGGTTATCTAAGAAATAAGGGAGGAAAACAAAATGTCCCTGGAATCTAATTGAAAATGAAGACACAACCTACAAAAACTTATCAGGTATAGAAAAGGTAGTGTTAAGGAGAAAGAAAGTCTACAGCCATGAATGCATATATTAAAAACAAAGGAAGATCTTAAATAAATTATCTAATGCTGCATCTCAAACTCCTAGAAACACAAGAACAAGCTAAGCCCAAAACTAGTAGAAGGAGAGAAATAATAAAACAAGGACTGAAATAAATGAAATAGAGATTTAAAACACCACACAAAGAATAAATAAAACAAAAAGCTGGGTCTTCCAACCAAAATTAAATGAAGAAGATATGAGACACCTAAATAGTCTTACTACAAGCATGAAATTGAAGCAGAAATAAACATCCTCCCTACAAAGAAGAGCCCAGGCTGAATTCACAGCCAAATTTTACCAGACCTTTAAAGAATAAACACCAGTACGCCTCAGACTTTTCCAGAAAATACAAAGAGTAGGAACATTGCCAAACTCTTTGTATAAAGCCAGCATTACACTCATTCCAAAACCCAACAAAGATACCACCAGCAAAGAACATGATAAACCAATATTTTTAATGAACATAGATGCAAATATTGTTAACAAAATACTGGCAAGCATATCGAAAATATCATACACCATGACTGAGTCGATTTCATCCAGGGATGCAAGGGTGCTTCAACACACGTAAATCCATAATCATAATACAGTATATAAACAGAAGGACAAAATGATTGTCCTAATAGATGCAGAAAAAGTCTTTGACAAAATCCAACATGCTTTTATGATAAGAGCTCTGAAGAACCTAGGAACAAAAGGAATATTCCACAACTTAATAAACAAACCTAGAGACAACATCATACTAAATGGAGAACAACTGAAACCATTCCTGTTAAAGTCAGGAATGAGACAGGGCTGTCCACTTTCTCCACCCCTCTTCAATATAGTTTTGGAATTCCTAGCCACAGCAATAAGACAACAGCAAGAAATAAAAGGGATTCAAATAGGGGAAGAAGAAATCAAATAATCCCTATTTGAGGATAACATGATCCTATATCTACGAGACCCCAAAAATGCTACCAAAATATTTGAAATCATAAACTCTTTAAGCAAACTAGCAGCATAGCAAATTAATATACAGAAACCAGTAGCTTTTCTATATACCAACAATGGACAGACTTAGAAAGAAATCAGGGAAACAATCCAATTTACAATAGCTTCAAAATCAATAAATTACCAAAAACAAATTTAATGAAAGAAACCAAAGACCTTTTTAATGAAAACTGTATACCACTGAAGAGAGAAATCTAAGAAGGCATGAGAAGGTAGAAAACCTTCCATGCTTGTGGATTGGAGGAATAAACATTGTGAAAATGGCCATACTACCAAAAGCAATCTGAATGTTTAATGCAATCCCTATCAAAATTCACATATCTTCACAGAAATAGAAAAATCAAATACATATGGAAACATACAAGAACTCAAATAGCCAAACCAATTCTGAACAAAAAGTACAATGTAAAAGGCATCACAATACCTAACTTCAAACTATACTACAGAGGAAAAACAATAAAAACAGCATGGTATTTGTACAAAAGCAGACAGGAGACCAATGGATCAGAGTAGAAGACCCAGACATAAACCCATCCATTTTTATCCAACTGATCTTTGACAAAGAAGCCCAAAATACATTATGGAGAAAAGATAGCCTCTTCAACAAATGCCGCTGAGAAAACTGTATATCCACATGTAGAAAAAGACTAAAACTAGATACCTGTTGTTCACCCTGTACCAACATCAACTCAAAAAGTGGATCAGAGACTTTAATATAAGGCCTGAAACATTGAAACAATCCAGAAGGCGGTAGGAAATACACTGGAAAAAATAAGTATAGGGAATGACTTCATAAACAGAGCTCAGAAGGCTCAGCATCTAATAATGAGCCCATGGCACTGCATCAAACTAAAGAGCTTCTGCACATCAATTGAAACAGTCACCAGGGAGAGGCCTGAAGGACTATGTAACCCGCCATTATGAGCGTGGAGTGCGGTGTGCATGGTGCGCTGGCCTGGAAGCTCTGGACCTGGGAGGTGTGCACGCAGGTGGGCGGCGGCAAGGTGTTTGGCCGACATGGCTCCCAACGTATTAGCGACTGAACCCGAGTATCCTAAAGGCATCTGTGCTACTGGGGCCGACTGGGGCTGGCAAAGGTACCCAGGCACCCAAATTGGCTGAAAACTTCTGTATCTGTCATTTAGCCACTGGAGACATGCTGAGGGCCATGGTGGCTTCTTGCTCAGAGCGGAAAAAAAGCTTAAGGCAACTATGGATGCAGGGAAACTGGTGAGTGATGAAATGGTAGTGGAGCTCATTGAGAAAAACTTGGAGACACCTTCATGCAAAAATGGCTTTCTTTTAGATGGCTTCCCTCGGACTGTGAGGCAGTCTGAAATGCTTGATGACCTCATGGAGAAGAGGGAAGAGAAGCTTGATTCTGTGATTGAGTTCTGCATCCCAGAATCTCTGCTGATCCAGAGAATCACTGGAAGGCTGATTCACCCCAAAAGTGGCCGGTCCTACCACGAGGAGTTCAAGTCCCCAAAGGAACCTATTAAAGATGATATCACTGGGGAACCCCTGATCCCTCGATCAGATGATAATGAGAAGGCCTTGAAGATCCATTTGGAGGATTACCACACTCAGAACACACCACTTGTGGAATACTACAGTAAACAGGGGATCCACTCTGCCATCCATGCGTCCCAGACCCTTGATGTTGTGTTTGCGAGCATCCTAGCAGCCTTCTCCAAAGCCGCATCTTAGTAACAGAAGGCCAGCGAGACTGCAGTACTGCTCATCACCCTGCGGTGTGATCCCTGCTCTTTCTTAGGTGCTGGGCAGAGGGAAAAGGGTGGCCAAGGGAAGGATGGAAAAAGGGGTGGTGAGGAGCTTGAGAAGTATTTGGAAGAGCAGCAGAGTTGTTGTAGTGTGTGGGATTTTTTTTACACATAACTGGAAGTTTTAAAAGTATAAGCAAAGGAGAAGATTAGTTTAAAAAAAAGAACACTGTGATTGGAGGGTGTGGGTACAAATAGGGAGATACAGTATTGTAAGAGAGTGGGTTTTTATTTACTCTGGACTGGTGACAATGTTTTTTTAAAGCCAATTCTCTTAAGACCTCAATTTTTATCTCAGAACCTCATGAGCTGCTTTGCCAAGAACACAGAAAATCAAACTGTGGTCCTATCTGTCCTGTAGCTTGGAACAGGGAGTGTTTGACTGCTAACTGGTTCCTCACACCATAAGATCAAAATATCATCTCACATTTGAAAGCGATAAGAGATGTGTTTGTGCAGGTGGTGGCTCAACAAATCAAGTTTACTGTAGTTATGGGGAAAGGAGGAAGCAGATCTCACTCTCATCCCCTCAGCAGCCACCACAATTCCACAGTCTTGCCTTCTTTCATCCATCATGTGTGAAGGAACCCTTTTAAACGAGCAAAGAAAAGGCTGGAGGTGTAGCCAGAGGTAGAGCGCTTGCCCAGCACATGCAAAGCTCTAGGTTTGATCCCCAGGACTGCAAAAATAAGTAAAAACAGATAAGCAAGTGTCCTAAACTGTATCATCCAAAGATTATCCTTCCATCCTCAAATCCTGTGACTGGGATCACTTGACAGCACTGTGATGTATTCATTTCAACAAGGTGCCTTTCTTAACTTACCAAATGCTGCTTTGTTTGGCCCCTAAGTCAATAAAAAATGTTAAAAATTAAAAAAAAAAGAAACAGTCACAAGACTTAAGAGATAGCCCACAGAATGGGAGGAAATCTTTTTTGACTTCTCATCTGCTAAGGGACTAATATCCAGAATCTATAGGGAACTCACAAAATTCATCCCTCAAACAATCAATACCCCAATGAAGAAATGGCACATGAATTAAGCACGGAATTCTCAAAGGAAGAGGCACAAATCGCCAGTAAATACATGAAGAAATGTTCAACATCCCTGGTTATAAAAATATGCAAATTAAAACAAACTTGGATTTTATCTCACCCCAGTTAGAATGGCCATGATCAAGGGTAATAACAACAACAAATGCTGGCAGGGATGCACCAAAACAGGAACCCTTATACAATTGTGGTGGGAATGCAAGCTAGTATTCACCACTATGGAAAGCAGCATAGAGATTCTGCAAAAACCTAAAGGTAGACCTGCCATGTGATCCATTGATACAACTCCTGGGCATCTACCCAAGGGAATGTAAGATAGGATACAGTAGAGACACCTGTAAACCGATGTTCATCTTGCACTATTTATAATAGTCAAGCCTTTGGAAAGAACCCAGGTGCCCTGCAACTGATGAATGGATGAAGAAATTATTGTATATATACACAATAGAATATTACTCAGCCATAAGGAATAATGACATGTGGTTTGAAGGTAAATGGATGCAATTGGAAGACATGTTAAGTGAAGTAAGCCAGGCTCAGAAACACAAAAGCCACATGTTTTCTCTCATATGTGGAAGATAGTTCCAATGATAAACATATACACAAAAACAAGCATGGTCATACACAAACTCAGATGTACAACATGCTTTTAGTAGTGGAAGTACTCTATGGAACTCAGGGAAAGAAGGAAAGAAAAAGAGAATGATAGAGCATCAGTAATACTGCATACCATAAGATGTGCAAGTAGAAGATATAAGGATGTGTATTGAAAGCTGATGAAAAATGGGAGGTAAAGAGGTAAGGGAGAGTAGTAGAAGAGGTTGAATGGACCAAAGTAAAGTACACTCAAAGTGGGCATACATTGAGACACACCTTTGAATATCAACTTAAATACTTAAATATTAATAACAAAGCCCAGTTTTGTAAAATATGTACTCTCTCTGTCTCTGTCTCTGTCTCTCTCTCTCTCTCTCTCTCCCTCTCTCTCTCTGTGTGTGTGTGTGTGTGTGTGTGTGTGTGTGTGTGTGTGTGTGTGTGTACCATTGGGAGGAGAAGGGTTAAGGAAGATTAACTTCATGCAATTGTTTTAAGTAGGGTGGGGAGAGGGTTGAGAAGGAAAGACTTTGGAATAATCTAAATAATGTATAATATAACTCTAAACTGAAATGTCACTTTGAGTCTCTCCGCCTGTATAAAGGCTAGATAATAACAAACAGCAAGTAAATGCAGAGAATCATTAGGGATGACTTTGAAATAGATTGGAATAAAATTACATTAAAATAAATTGAAAAATCTTGAAAAATGGACAAATATCTACATGTAATGAAGCTGAAGCAATAGTAGAGTCTCCCCCAAAAGAAAAGTCCAGGACCTGATGAATTCAATCCTGAGTTCTACAGATCTTTTGAAGAACTAATACCAACAATCCTCAAACTTCTCCAAGAAGTAGAAAAGGAAGGAACACTGCCACGATCATTCTATGAATTTTTATGTACTTCCTGTATAGGAATGATTATAGAAAATTTAAAAATATGTTGGAATTACCATAAGAAGGGGACTAAAGTTGAAAGGAGCAAAATAGAGGTGATGAATTAGCTCAGTAATATATATACACACTTTTTCTCTTTAAAAGTAATCTTTTAAAAGTTAGAAAGATTTTAATTGTGAAGTCACATCCCAAAGCATTATCATCTTGGTGATTTTTTAAATGTATAATTCAGTATTGTTATGCTTATTCCTATTTTTGTCAAGTGGATTGCCAGATTCTTTTTTTTTGCAAAACTGAAACATACTCATTAAATAACTCCTATTTTCCCATTCTCCCAGTACCTAGTATCTACCATTCTGTTTTCTAGCTTGATGAATTTGTCTACTCAGGAAAACACAATATATTTGTCCTCTTATGAATAGTTTACTGCACAAAGCATAATATTCTCAAGGCTCTTCTATGTTATATTAAGTGACAGGATTTCCTTTACTTTTATGACTGAGTGACACTATATACAGTTTATTTGGTAAGTACAATGATTTTTTTGGGTATGACTTTGAAAGTCAAAGAAACAAACCAAAAGTAGATAAATGGAATTACTTAAAAATACAAAGTTTTATTTTTTGCAGGCAGCAGTGATCAAAAATATATTAAAATCTTGAGTGCAACACAAAGGAGGGGTGAGGATAGGTAAGACACCTAAAAAATTAGCTAGCATTTGTTGCCCTTAACACAGAGAAACTAAAGCAGATACCTTAAAAGCAACTAAGGCCAGTAGGAAAAGGGGACCAGGAACTAGAGAAAAGGTTAGATCAAAAAGAATTAACCTAGAAGGCAACACACACATACAGGAAATTAATGTGAGTCAACTCCCTGTATAGCTATCCTTATCTCAACCAGGAAGACTTGTTCCTTCTTATTATTGCTTATACTCTCTCTACAACAAAATTAGAAATAAGGGCAAAATAGTTTATGCTGGGTATTGAGGGGGTGGGGGGGAGAGGGAAGGGGCGGAGTGGGTGGTAAGGGAGGGGGTGGGGGCAGGGGTGAGAAATGACCCAAGCCTTGTATGCACATATGAATAATAAAACAATAAAAAAGTGTATATGTGAAGCACATATGTAAATGTCACAGTGTATCCCCATGTATAACTATTATATGCTAATAAAAAAATTTAAAAACGTAAAAAAAATAAAATATCGTGTGGAAGATATAGAAGAAAAATTGATGTTCAGGAAACATTCAGCGACACTTAAGAAGAGACACCCTGAATGTTTGTGATCTCAGCCATACTACTACTAATAATATTACATATAATCACATGGATAATCTATAGTTTCACATCTAAAACTGAATCAGTCTCTCTAATATTGTAATATAGGTAAAGTTTTCTATAGAAAACTGGAAGGCCTTAATTCACTACAAAATTTCCATGTGTAATTCTGAGGTCTGAGAAATGGAGGTGAGCAGAAACAATGGGGAGAAGTGCATGAGGTACACTAAAACTCTGGGGATGATAAATCAACCATCCTGAATTATTCTCTCATCTCCTTGGTCTTTAGGGATATAACCCTCCTGGGATGGGCTTGGTAGCAAAGTAGCTGCTCTAATGAGGTGATTTGAATATTGAATCCCCACTGTTACAGAGTCTATAGAGTCTCCCTGTGCCCATGTCTCTTCTCATCCCTGCTCCTGTCAGGAAGCAATACCTCAGACTCATCCAGACGTGGTTCTTCTTGATCAGGAGCCTGTTCCCTCAGTTGATGTGCCTGCCAGTGTTGAGACCACTTGTTTCTGATTCCAGGTGAGATCGTGAGCATTATCCTCAGTGAAACCAACCAGGTGACTTGAAGTCCCCTCATTAGTGATTAGGATATGAGGTGTTTTGCTACAGTTTAATCCAGGGTAAGCAGTGAGGAGAGGATGTGCACATGATGAGAAACAAGTCACCTGACAGCTGTGTTTCGGACAATTCTCTTGCATGTTTCCTCCGATATACACCCAGTGTTCATTTTGTTGTTCTCTTATTCACCATGAGGAGAGGATCAGTTTCTTCTGAGCAGATCTGTACCTCTTATCCAACATGATGACTTTAATATAACACTCAAGTTTATTTGTATTTCTGGGGATGGTGTTGGGGAGGTACTCTGGTCAGTGAATTAGTTGCTATAACTGCTGTAACAAAGCACCACATACTTGGTGTCTTAGCCACAGAGATCTGTTTTCTCACCACTCTGGAGCCTATAGGTCAAAGATTTGTTTTCCTCTGAGGTCTTTCTATTTAGATTTAGATGGCCTTTTTTCTCCCTGAATCTTCACAGGGTCACCACTCTGTGGGTCTGTGTCCTAAGTTCTCCTTTAAAGACACCAGTCATACTGCATTAACATTTACCCTAATGAACATATTCTATCATTATACTTTTTCAAAGAACTACCTATAAGTACAATCACCTTTTGAGGTATTAGGGATCAAGTTTTCCACGTATGAATTTGAGGGGGGGGTCACAGAATTGTCCACAAAAATCAGCTCCTCCTCTTCTTCCCTTGCTGTTTTTAATTCATTAGTGTACACTGAATTTTGTTTCATACCTGTGTGTGAGATGGGCAGCTCTGGGCAAGAATCTGGATTTCAGAGTAGCATCCTTTCTATATTTCTTAGAATACAAAACCTATTTTCTTTCTAAACAATAGGAAGAAAGACCAGATTTGTTTTCTAAAATTACCAAGGATTTTACGTAAAAATTACAGAGATAGTACAATTATCACTGTAAAACTGCCACCACAACAACAACCCTGAATTCATTCTACAGTTAAAATTGTGGGCATTATGCTACCTTTCAGGCCTTTAAAAATGAAATAATAGAATAGTAAGTATACCCAATACATAAATTTGTGTTCCCTTTCATGCTTTTTCTGCATTTCTAAGTGCCTTCCCTCTTAACTGTGATAGTGCCCCCAATGCAGGGCTTTATATTGTGTTTTTAGTCACATGTACATATGAATACATGTATGTATCTAACCTCTCCCTGTTTCTCTCTCTCTCATCTATCTATCTATCTATCATTTATTCATATGTTAAAATGCAAGGAGCAAAATACCTATCAGGAAATGTAGACATAAATTGTGCTGTGTCAATATAGTGAAATACTCTGGTAGCTAAAATTGATGGAGGACTAGATATACCAACATTAATAAAAATAAATTACCTAAGAATACCACTTTTAAATGGCATATAGCATACGATACAGTTTAACATGTGTAAGATATAATACTACACATATTTTATCATTTGGAACATAATACATACCAATGTAGAGAAGTAAAGACAGTAATGTCTGTCATGTTATTATGTTAGTTAGTGTGTTGGTTCACTTGGGGAAGGAAAAAAATCAAGTTTGTTCAAATATAAGAAATGGGCTGCTTCAGATTGCCTCTATTATTTCTGGCACAAAAGATATCTTAAGCAAGGATGATGATGATGGCTGCCAGCCCTTTATGGTTCTCTCTATTGTCAATCATGTATGAATAACTACAAAATCAGTAAGAAAATGTATGTACTTAGTAGGTTAAAATAATTAAGAATTTCAAATATTGTACTTTTTCATAGTTTTTCAGTATTTGAGGTAGTCATAGTATTTGTGACTAATAGCTATAATTCATTTTTGTTTATTTGTCAATGGCTTATATGTTCAGGCCAAATGCATACATGTATCCTCCATGTATCTTTCTTTACAGTCCTATGTAACCAAGATGCTTAGAGGTAGGCTCAGCATAGGAACTCTACCTTCAAACATGTATTTGTTATGGTTGAAAACTTCTAATTTTCTTTTCTCAACTGCTCTAGCTATTTATTATTTCTGAGGGGGCAAGTGCCTTGTGCTATTGCTCATGAGAGACACACACACAATGATAGGAGAGGTCAGCATGAGCGCCTCATCTGCCCAGTGCTGTGCTGGATGCTTTTACTCTATTCATTTCTTGTGAGCAAAACATTCTCTTGAGGGTTTTAATTCAATTTTATTAAGGTATAATTGCACAAATAAAAATTGTACATATACTTAAGATATGCATTGTGATAGTTGGAGATATGTACATTGAGAAATGCCTGTGACAGTGCAACTAATTAATATATCCATTGGGCAGTTCCTATTATATACACAGATAGACACCACTCCAGTTCATAAAGCTATTGCAAAAGCCTGGATGGAACTCAGCAGATGGGAGTCTAATGATTACACCAAATAATTATTGTCGTCTTAGCTACTTCTGCCTCCCCAGGAGCCAAAAGCCCATTGTACTCTAGAGACTTTCGTGTTATTAAGGCTGATGATTTCAGTATTATCTTGAAAGTCTCTGTCATCTGGAAACCTACAAATGGGTTTTATATCCATCTGTTTTCAGAAGAGCCTATGCATTTAATTCTTTCTCTCATTTAGCTATTTCTTTGGTGTTTATTTAATTTAATGATATCCTACCCACCTCATTATGGGAATAAGTTCCTTAAAGAAGATAGAGAATGTCGTTAATATTCTTATTCACCTTCTCTTAGAATTAATTGCTAATATGAATGGATCACACTTACAGGAAGAGTTCAGTAAGCTTCCTGTTTATATGTAACATGTAATCACTGTTCATGTTCCCCTGTGTGGATTCCCTCTAAAACCTGCTATTAACTTGATGTTAATAACTAGAAACCAAGGGAAATTTGGGGCTATGCTCAGGAAGAAACTTGTAAGATCTAAAGAAAAAGTGTGAGACCTTCATGACCACTAAGTACTTCTGATTCTGTACTGTTTGGAGGCATTAAGAGAGAGCTGTCAGAAATTTTCACCCAGCTCTGAAAACCACTTACAGTGAGCTTTGTGATGGTATGAATTAATTCATGTGTAATTTGAGAAGCCCTTCAGATTATTGTGAGGGGTAGCAAACTTGGAAACCAAGGCTACAGCAGACAGATTTAATGATTTCATTTTTATGTTAATTTTTGTTTCAAGGTAAGGATTAATGCTGAAGAAATCCCATATCTTACTCTTTTTTACAATCTCAGAACTTGGCATACTGTGTGAAACAATATTAGTTAAAATAAAGGAAACAGAATTTAGAAGAGTGTTGAGAGTAGAGGAATGTGGAGAGAGGGCAAGCAGAGAGAAGATCTGAATATTCTCTTGATTTCACAAAAAACATGGTAGGGTCTTTTTTCTTTTTAAAACTCTGCTTATCTGTCTTTTTTTTGGTGGGACTGGAGTTTGTACTCAGGTACAAACTTTGAGCTTGCAAAGCAGGTGCTCTTCTAATTGAGCCACACCTCCAGCTCTGGCTCTGTGTCTTTAGATATATGGAACTGATCTGGAGTTCTTGTTAAGACATAGTTGCTGGTCCTCCTCCCAGATCTTATCATCAGTAAAGCAACAGCATACAAATTTTTAATTCTAATAAGTCACGCTGTGATTCAATTCCATGCTGTCCTGAAGCCCTTCATTTTATTTTATCTTCACCCCATCTTTTCTATAAGATTAACCAGATATATGAAACCTCTGAACCAAACAGCTATTACAGAATTCCTTCTTCTGGGACTGACAGATGATCTAGAAATGCAGCCTCTCATCTTCAGCCTGTTCCTGTTTATGAACCTGTTCACAGTGCTTGGGAACTTGCTCATCATCCTGGCTGTCAATTGTGACTCCCACCTCGACACTCCAATGTACTTCTTTCTCTCCAACCTGTCCTTTACAGACATCTCTACAAGCACAGCTACAATTCCAAAGATGCTAGTGAACATCCAAACACAGAATCACAGTATCACACTTACAGGATGCCTTGCCCAGGCCTGCCTTGCTTTGATTTTTGTTGGTGTAGAAAACTGTCTCCTTGCAGTGATGGCCTATGATCGCTATGTGGCCATTTGTCACCCCCTGAGGTACATGGTCATCATGAAACCCTACCTCTGTGTCTTTCTGGTGCTCTTCTCCTTGCTCATTAGCACTGTACACGCCCTGATCCACAGTCTTATGATGCTGCATCTGTCTTTCTGCACAGACCTGGAAATCTCCCACTTCTTCTGTGACCTTGCTGAGATTATCAAGCTCTCCTGTTCTGACACTGTCATCAACAACATCCTGATATATTCAGTGGGTGTCATATTTTTTGGTGTTCCTCTCTCTGGTATTATTTTCTCTTACACAAAAAATGTCTCCACTATTTTTAAGATCCCATCAGTAGGGGGGAGATATAAAGCTTTTTCTACCTGTGGTTCTCATCTCTCAGTGGTGTCATTATTCTATGGTACAGGTTTTGGGGTGTACATGAGTTCTGCAGTTACTGACAGTTCCATAAAAAATGTAATGGCTTCAATGATGTACACTGTGTTCCCTCCAATGCTGAACCCTTTTATCTACAGTTTGAGAAACAAGGACATGAAGAGTGCATTGAGAAATCTTTTTATTGGAATGCCTTTTCTTTGATTGTATCCTTGGTTGGGGCTTGAGTTTCTAGAGTAAGTCAAAGTGATAAGAATACTGGTGAGCCAGAATACTTGGCTCTTCCATCACTAAGTTCTTTCAACATAACTGAATGATATAATTTCCTAGTGCATTTCAATTTGGCTTTCAATCTTATTCTGTTGTTTTCCAGCTCTGTGATAGTTGGTGAATAATGTCAATCTCTAAACTTCATTTACTGGCTCTGACTCCATAGAAGCAGTCTCAGAAGAATGAATGCTGGAGCAGGTGATAAAGCAGGGAAAGGATCCAGGAAGGATGTCTTGATTCCTTAAGATTCACTTTAGTTTGATGCCATAGTACAGCCATGTGGATTACACCATCTACATTAACCTTCTGGGAGCTTAAAGTAGCAATTTAGTAGTCTACTGAAACATTAGTGTCCGATTGGTGGTGCACACCTGTAATTTTACCATCTTGAATGTTGAGGCATGAGGATAATGATTTTGTGGCTTTCCCCAGCACAGCTCAAATACTGAGTTTTTTCCCTGTACAGAGATGTCCTCTGTTGGCAGTGCTTTCAACCACTGCTCTCAGTTTAATTATTTGTAAAATACATATATTATCTAACTGTTCTGCGATGGTTTTGCAATATTTGACATTTTGTACCTTATCAGATGGAAAAATGAAAGGCACTTTATTTCTTGGTCTGGAATCATGGACTGTTTGCTTATAAATTTTCACCTTTGTGCACTTCCAAAGAGTTTTCTTAAATCATTGAGCTCACTACCTACCTGTTAGATAGCCTTGGAATTCCACAATTTTGCAAACACTTTTGGTTACCCTGAAAATCTAGTGAATGTGAAATATTGTCTGGTTAATGTATATTTCTTTTGCTGAGGTTGAGACAATTGTTTATATTATAACATAGCAATTGTGATCTTTGTTCTTTTTTTCTTTCTTTCCTTGTATTTCTGTGGATCAGACTCTGGACCCTGCACATTTAGGGTTGTGCTCTACCATTAAAATACATCCCAGGCCTGTATGACTTTTTTAAATTAAATATAATTTTTCTTTGTTCTTTAATTGGAATGTTACTCTTTGTGAGTTAAAGAAAGGAAAGTGTGAAGAAGGCTGAATGTAGTGGGAATATTATGTACTCATGTATGTAAATGGAGAAAGGGATCTGTTGAAACTATTCCAGGAATAGTGGGAGGAGTGATAAAGTAGAATGATGGTGGGGGTGAATTCAACTATGTTATATTGTAAGTACTTTTGTAAATGTCATAGTGTACCACCAGTGTAACAATAATATAATAAAAATAAAATAATATAAAACAAATAAGCTATTTGTTTTATATTTTATTCATAATGAAATATATTTATAACAAAATAAGCGAAAAGTTAATTTTGTTCTTTAGTTGAAGTGTCAATCTTTGTACGTTATATATATTGCCTGCCATTTTTATATATGTGGCTTGTTTCCTTTCATGTACATAAGGTTTAATGAATGTACACAGTTGCTCAGTTTCGATATGGTTTAATCTATCAATAATTTCCCCAATGGTTTGTGTTTAATAACTCTTGACAATAAAGCCACCCTGACAGCCATCTACACCTTGAGAATAATGACTTTAGTTATTAGATTCAATTGGAATTGATTTCTTGCTTTGTGGTGGGACAGAAGTCCAACTCAGCTTTTATGGCTAGTTCACCAATAAATAAACTTTTCATTTATTTTTCTACTCTCTTTTCTGAGTAACCCATTTTTGTGTCCATTCCCATACTAATATTATAGGACTTAATTATTGCAGTTACTATATATCAGAGTTTGGCCAGGGTTAATGGTGCACACTTGTAGTCCCAGGTATTGGGGGCTGAGGCTGCAGGATCAAATGAGCACACGAGTTTGAGACCAGACTGAGCAATATTGTGAGACCTCATCACAAAAAACCAAAACACAGTTTAAAAAATGAATGATCAGAAAGCAACTATATTTGCAGGGTAACAATCTCCAACATTTTCTGTTACAAATGCAAATGGCACCTTGTAACACAGGTTAACAAGTTTTCCAATAATTTTCAATAATGTTGATAACAAATACTCCTAATTTCCACCTATGACCTCTAATAAAATGAGTATCATTTTCAAGGTTTAGCAAACATATGTATTTAGCCTAACAGAATGAATCTGTGAAAACGTGGTAGTTAAATTCTGAAATGATAATGAAACTTGCTTAGCATTCATAGTCCTCATTCAATGCAGATAAATATTTTTAACAGTTTAATATTAATAGCTTTCAACATAATCTATTTAAACACCTGAATAGAATGTTAAAAAAAGGATCTTTTTTTCTGGGCTATACATAGAATTAGACATTAATATCTATATTGTGAAGTACATCCTATATTATTATTTTTATTTATGCAGGAGGAGATAGATTTAAATTTGCTTTTCAGTTCAACATGATGTAATTCTTTAGAATATCATATGTTACTATGGAGGCATCTTCAAAATTACCATATTGCACAAGGTGCTGAATCCAGTAGAGGGAGGAGGTGAGCCCATATTTGAATAGCAATTGAGGTAGATCAGAACACAAAAAGGTGATGGGAAAAGTATTACATAATATGAGTATGCCAGTACCAAGTAGTGTTCACCCATGATGAAGGAAAAAATCATGTCATTGGCTGGAAAATGAGTGGAACTGGAGATTTCCATGTTCAGTGAAATAAGGCAGACTCAAAAAGTGAAATATTGCATGTTTTCTTTCATATTTAGAATCTAGAAAATAAACTAAAACGTAGAAGGAAGATCACTTAGGAAGAGGGGTGGGATGGGGGGAGGGTGACAGATGAGTGGGGAATGGAGGGAAAATATGATCAAAATTCCGTATATATGTGCATGAAAATCCTGAAATAAAATTCATTATTTTGCACAATTAACATCCAATAATAGAAATTGGAAAAAGAGTTAAGAATTTCTCCAACTCAAGTTGATTTCCTCCAACATGTATTTTGATAATGTTTCATAAAAAGGATATTATACTGATCAAGTGTGATATTGCTGCTATCTGTATTAATATAATATCTTAAGTCCCTCAACTCTAACAGTTATTATCGGTCCAGATGTACTTTCTTCAAAGCACTGTTTCTCCTTGCATAGTTTTTCTATCCCTCTCCTCTAGCATATGCACCTGCAGCCTGGATACACGTGTTGGGAGACTGTGACTTCCTCATTCCAAGATTCAGCATTGGACACACTAACATATTGTTTTTATTTTCTTCTTTGCTCCAAAATTCCTGTATGTTTTACCTTTCCTCTGTTTAGGGAAAAATACGTGCAACATATTGATTTAAAGATAATCATTTAATCTTCACATAATTTCTCATCAAAGAAACAGTAACAACAGAACTAGGTCTTGTGAATCTACATTCACCCACCCAGAATGTGGGTTATTTTGATGCTGGCACATATGGGTTTGACCTCTGTGGTCAGAGAACTGAAGATCTTGTAATGTAATAGTGCCTTTGTGGCTCTTTTACAGGTGTAACTCTCAACAGAAAATTGGTGGAATCTTGCTGATGTTCAGCGTTTCTAACCTTGTTCTAATGAAGTGGTGGTTCAAGGTAGTTAAGTGAATTTTATCCAGGCCTAAAGAGCTGTCTTCTTTGAGTTTAAATCAAGGACTTTATTTGGGTGGAACTAAGTTTATGGTGAAAGGAAAGGGTGACAGCTGCAAAAATATGATCAAGGTACATTATACACTTGTGAAAATAGAGTAAGAAAACCTGTTAAAATTCCTTCAAAAGAGGGCTGAGGGGATAATAAAATGTAACAGGGGGTGAATTTGATCAAAGCATATTGTATTCATGGATATAAATATCACCATTAAACCCCTTTGGATAGTTAATTTATGTTAACTAAAGTAAGACAGCTTGACCCCTGGAATAGAATAGAGAATCCACAAAATACAGCAATCATGTATTTACAGCAATCAGATATTTGGCAAAAGCGCCACAAATTTAAGTCCTTTAAACAAGTGGTGTTGGGAAAACTGGATATCCAAATGACAAGTGTGCAAAAGGAGGAACTTTGTTAGAGGGAGGTTCAACAAGAGGCTGTGAGCATAAATGTGAGATTGATGTTGAGGTGAAGTATATTATATGGATTTATGAAAATATAATAATGAAATTCATTAAATTTATTAAAGCAGAGGAGAGGGAGGGTGCAAATGAGTAGTAGAAGAGGTGAATTTCATCAAAATCCATCATTTGCATGTATGGAAATACCAAAATGAAACCCACTTATACAATGATATCATGGACAAAAGAGTTGTGAGGTTCAGAGCTATGTTGCTGAAACTGGGATGAGGTCAAAAGCCCAAAGAATGGCTAAGACAACTCCAATTTGAATGATTGAGAATGAGTTTTAATAGGCTTTACTTACTTCTCCCCACTACGTGCATTTCTACTAATTATATGGCTCTATGACCACAGCAGAAACTCTACTAGTGCACCACCTAACATCAGAACATCTAAAGTAACCAGAGTCTCAAAGGCAAGGCTCAGACTCTGGTAACGTCTGGGGTTTATATGTATGCCCTCCTTGCACTTCCCAGGGGTGCTGCTGACCTCTCCATCTACTCTCCCACCATAGGTAGCTGCTTCATGGAGTTATTTAGGCAATCAGTCCGAGGACTAGTCACAATACAAAAATTACCCACAATTTCTGACATCCTTACTTCAGATATATATGAATTGCTTCTAAATGAAAAACACTCTCCAGACAGTGTACTGTGATCTAGCCACAATCTTATTCTTTTCTCCCTTTCTAGAAAAACTCTTCAATGTTTACCTCTCTATTATCTGTTCCATTCTTCTCCCTTTATATCTGAGATCTAGCCATTTAGGTGTTAGCCTGATTTCTTACTGGTTAAATTCACAACTGCCCTTACCAATCACCAGCCAGGTATATAGTTCTGCATTCAGCTTCCTGACTTCTGATGTTCAATGATATGGAGA